TCTCCGCTTTGCCCTCCGCATCCCTGTTGCTGTGCTCTCCTCCGCAGCACCGAAGCTTCCCGCCTCCGCCACCCGCAGTCTCCGCCCGTGAAGGGGCTTCCTAGTGTGTGGAAACCTTTCCTCCTTCACAGCTCCCTCCCATTGGTGCAGATCCCATCGCTATTCTTCTGTCTCTGTTTATTCTTTCTTTTGCCCTACCCAGGTACGTGGGGAGTTTCTTGCCTTTTGGGAGGTCTGAGGTCTTCTGCCAGTGTTCAGTAGGTGTTCTGTAGGAGTTGTTCCACGTGTAGATGTATTTCTGATGTATCTGCTAGTGTTGGAGGGTCTCCTGCAGAGGCGGTGGGTGGCTGTGGCTCACCGTGAGGACAAGGACCCTGGCAGCAGAAGTTCTGGAAAGTATTCCTTGGCGTGAGCCCTCCCAGAGTCAAAAGTAATGTATTTGCTCATATATGCACACAATTTTTAGAAGGATGTACGAAACTTAACAATGGTTGCCACTACATAGAGAGATCTAATTTTAGTTGTATATCTTTTTGTATTACAGAGTTTCCCCCTGCGTACATGTATTACTTTTTCAAATAGAGAAGGAAAACTAGTGTAAAATGTTCTAAATTAAAATGAGGTAAAATCTGTCATTCTATACTTCTCTTGGTCATAGGTCCAAGTTTTGGAATTGAGCAAAATAAGACTATTTTATCTTGGAAGTTTTCTGATATTTTGAAATAAGTCACTAAGGTTCTGTAAATCAGGGGTCCCCAACGCCTGGGCCAAGGACCGGTAGCGGTCCACAGCCTATTAGGAACCGGGCTGCACAGCAGGAGGTGAGCGGTGGGCCAGCGAGCAAAGCTTCATCTGCCGCTCCCCATCACTCGCATTACTGCATGAACCACCCCCCCCAGCCACACCACAGTCCGTGGAAAAATTGTCTTCCACGAAACTGGTCCCTGGTACCCAAAAGGTTGGGGACCACTGCTTTAAATTGTCTTTTTTCCACAGTAAATAAAAATACTTCTGTTTTAACTATAAACATTTCCTGTGTAACATGGTATCTAGAATAGATTCTTACTATCCAACTTGTTTACATTTATGAATATTGTTGATATGGCCAAATATCTCTCATTATACCAGGCCTCCCTTTGGAAACTTTACTTACGTTCTAGCCTGAGAAGTTGGTTGGTTGTTGATTTAAATAATCATGTCATTCTTTGGTTCTTTGAGATTGCTATGACTAAAAGTCTTAATTAAGTGTTTTCCCACATGTGTCCTGTGACCTAATAGAGATTTGTCTCTGCGTTGACATGGATTAGTCAGAATTCTTTATAGTTCTTCAGTAAGCTGCAGATCTGCATACTGTACGTTTTTGACAGAAAACTGGCTGCGGTATTCCTCTGGTTTTTCTTCTGTAGTAGCTTTTTAAAAGAAGAAATAAGGCACTCTAGCACAATCCCATGCTGGAGACTTAAATGCCTGTTTTCGCATGCCTCATTTTTTATGGCAGGGGCACAGGAGGCTTAGTACTCTTACCTGTGGCTTCCATACCCTTGTTCCAACAACTTTCCTTCAAAAACCCTATTCTTTGCTCTTGACATTATATTATTTACCAAAGCAAGTGTTCTTTTTTTTTAAAAGAAAATAAATTTATTTATTTATTTTTTATTTTTGGCTGCGTTGTGTCTTTGTTACTGCACGTGGGCTTTCTCTAGTTGCAGCGAGTGTGGGCTACTCTTCGTTATGGTGTGTGGGCTTCTCATTGTGGTGGCTTCCCTTGTTGTGGAGCACGGTCTCTAGGCACGCGGGCTTCAGTAGTTGTGGCTTGCGGGCTCTAGAGCGCAGGCTCAGTAGTTGTGGCTCATGGGCATAGTTTCTCCATTGCATGTGGGATCTTCCTCAACTCGGGATTGAACCCGTGTCCCCTGCATTGGCAGGTGGATTCTTAACCACTGCGCCACCAGGGAAGTCCCCGCAAGTGTTCTTTTATTAGAAACATTTGTGGCTGATTCTTGCTATTAATTATGGCCTCACAATTTCATTAATATCTTTAAAAAGGGCTTGTCCTCTTATTGCTGTGGCAGTCTACTCACCTGGCCACACCTAGGTATTATCTTCTGAAGGGTACTCCAACTCTGAAATATTAGTCTGACCATAATGTCCAATTCCTTCACGATACCCTTCTACTTCTCTTTCTGGTTTCCACCAAATCTACTCTTTGAAGCTGCTGCTATCTTGTCCCTACCCTGTTCCTTCAGTTTATCAGCTTCCTTCAGATTTTACTCCCTATTCTATTATCTGTGGATCATTCTTGGGAATGCCTTCAATTCTCTCAGCCCCTTGCCGCCTTCTACCTCTCTTGTCCCACCCAACTTGATAGAGTAACTCATCAGTCGTTTGTCCTCATTGCTTCTAGATAGCCTAATGCTGCAAGGGGAAGTAACATAAGTGTGCCAATGACTCTGATTATAAATTAGTAATGTCCAACTTGGGGCAGCAACATTGAAGATTATAGTCTGCTTCCATTTTTGTTCCCCACACTTGAATTTTTCCAAGTCTTTTACCTTGTCCCTGCCCCTAACTTTCAACTAATGATGTCAGAGAGAAATACAGGCCAAAAGGAATATCTTGCTTTATTTTGAAACTTACCTATGTCTTTACTCATCTATATCCCCTTCTCTCAAGATCATTCCCTCCTCCATCTGTTGCAGTGATTCCATTTTTTTCCTTTGATCTAAACACATCGTTTGCTCACCTGCTGTATTTATGATGGGGGGTGGGGGAAGCAAGGTACAGAATGGCTTGTGTGGTATGATTACTGTACTCAAGAAGAAAAACAAAAATCTCTGTTTTAACACCCTCCCCACACACAAAAGAAGTGTTAGAAGGCTCTGTATACCAAGGTGTTTGCAGCAGTTGTCTCTGGATGGGTTGGATTGTGGACTTTTCTTTTTGCTTGTGTGTAATTTGATTTCTATTAACATGAAATGATTTTAAGATGAGAAAAATTGGATATTTTCCCCCATATTTTCTGTATGTGCTTATATTGTTTTTATTATAAATTTATTTTTAAAAATATTTATTTATTTATTTGGCTGCACTGGGTCTTTGTTGTGGCATGCAGGGTCTCTGTTGAGGCATGCAGGGTCTTCGTTGTGTCATGCAGGATCTAGTTCCCTGACCAGGGATCAAACCCGGGCCCCCTGCATTGGGAGCGCAGAGTCTTAACCACTGGACCACCAGGGAAGTCCCCTTTTTATTATAAATTTTAAAAATATTATCAAGTTATGGGAAATGCCTTGCTATCTTTGTCAAGCAGTTTTCTGATTTCTGGATTGAAACTTTATTTCCTCCCCCCACATGCCCACTCAAGTCCCACATTTATAATGTTTCCTTAGCCCTTTGATCATGTGATCACTTTGATTACAGCTTGTCAGAATTTTTTTCACTTGTTTATCCAAAGTATAAGTGCTGAGACTTAGGAAAGGGTTCTGGTAACCTCAGTATTTCCAGCACTTTGTGTGTATGGATACCGTGAAGACAACCACGAATGCTTTTTCTAAAACATCCACTGAAAAGAGGAGTACAAATACGAATGACATTCCAAATGCTTGGACATCTCCAGGTTCCTTTTCTGTTCTTTAAAAAAAATTTCACATGGTACTAATTTAAATCGAATGTAGTATGCCATATTGTGAGACACAATTATTTTTTTTAATCACTAAGAAAGGAAAAAACTCTGCCAATTAGACTGTGATGTTATTGATAGTATGATGCATTGTGTAGAGGTGTTATACATGGGAAAAATGTATATCATAGAATTGATGAAATACAGCAGTTCTAAGGTCACATCTCTGTAGTCTTTGTGGCTTTAGAGTAGAAAAAAGTGTTTAACCCTGGCACTGCTTTAGATCTCATCCATGTATTGCCAACTTTGTTTCCCCTTCATTACTTTGTTTTGTATGGCTACCATGGACTCTGGTGAATGCACTGAATTATGGTGGAGTAAAGCCTACTTTTAGGAAAAGGATTTTTAGTACATTTCTTTTAAGGGGCGTTTAAGACAGATTATTGTACTCCAGTCTTGCCACATAGTCTACAGAGACACTGGCTTAAAATACAAATCTGGCTGTTATAGCGTAAAACCGTTTTGTATCTTCTCTTCCCCCAGTGTGCTTCAGTGCACTGATATACACCAGACTTTTACCTTTTGATTCCTCAGTCAGGACATAGTGTGGTTATCTTTGTTAGAATATAACTGTGAGCTCAGAAAGCCACATGCTCTGATGTAGAGTGTAAACCTTGCATTAAGCAAAGGGACTGCTGAACAGATACCAGAACAGGTTGAGAACCACTAATTCATAAGATAAAATGTTTCTCATTGTAAGAGACCTGGTCTCTGGACCTGGCCACTGCTCCCTACTTTGGCTAATTATTGGCTTCTTTCTGCCTTATGCTTTATACTCAGATAACATTATTTTATAGTTTCCTTGCTCATATTGTTCTATGTTTTAATCTCTATGTCTTTGCCTGGGATCTTCCTTCGTTAAGGATCTCCCTTCAAATTCATTCTTCAAAAACTAATTTTTCTTTTAGAAAGGATTCTTTGCATTCCTATCCTTCCACTAAACTGAGTTGCTTATCTTCCTCATTGCTGTTACATTTGTGCATATTTCTATCCTTGTATTTACTCCATTATGTTGGAATTACTTTTATAACAAAATTATATTTTGTATTTACAGGAAACTGTAAGAGCTTCTTGAGGGCAGGGACTCTGCTTTATTCACCTTTTCTCTCCATCACCTAGCACAGTGCATGACACTATCTTCTTTAAACATTTGCTATGCTAAATGTAACTAAGGCTATGAAGGAACGGACAGCCTATATAGAATATACCTGGAGGTTGTAGGTATCCTAAGTTTTAATAAAAAACAACTTACATTTCAATCGGTTTTAAGTATTTATGATTTCTTTTTATTCTTTTGCATGCTTTCTTGGCTGGATGACAATAGAGAAGAAGAAAATGAGGTATGTATAATTTAATTAGGTATTCAGCGATTATGAGCTTGAAAACATTCAAAATTTAGCTATCATTTTGAATGTGAAATGAAGTAATAGTTTTTGCTTAGTTTTGTTTTTGGATCTACAGTAATTCATTCCAGTGAGGGATGTTGTATATCTCAAGAAAATGGTTTTTAGACTTCGGAGTTTCAAGAGCTTTAGTCAAGGTAAAGGAAGCTGGCAACTTTGGAGACAGCTTTTTACCTGTTTTTACGCATTGAGCTTCCATGTAAAATTCAATTTGAAAAGTGAATTTTCTTTCTTAAAAAGTATTTGAAGACCACTGCTCTGTGATAATGCATGTGAAAACATTTACTTTCCCACTTGAACGGTAACTGTATAATTTTGAAAACTGATCTCAGATTTTACCATGTTGAAGTAGAAAACTGTTCTCTTAAATAGCCAGACTTGATTAAAGAATGTCAGTTAGAAAAATGTTGTAGATGGCAAGTGTACTATCTTTAATTTAGGCTTGAGTTTGTTGCTATAGACTTTCCTGCTGTTCTGTCTACAACCGAGGTTATGCCTTTAACTTCTAACGCCCATCAGTTCCTTTGGTGGTTTGGCAAATAAAGAAGGGTGAAGTCTTCTTAGATGTATACTTTGTAGTTGTCGTTCACGGTAGGATCAGACTATAAATCAGCATGGCCTGGGTGTGTGGGGCCCAGGCAGATGCAGTAGTAGTTTGCCAGGACAGAGTAATTTCCAGGAAGGCAGAAAGGCCTGGTCCCCATTTGGTTACCTCATCTGTGAAATGAGTGAGATGGGAGACTGCTCTATACCAGTGGTTTACCAAATCTAGGAAGTCCCTCAGAATTGCCTGAGATGCTTGTTCTCAAAAAACAAAACAAAATAAACTTTATTCACCTTAGAGCTATTGAATTGTTATTTCCTGGAGTTTTGTCACAGATCTATATTTCTACCAAGTACCCAAGTGATTCTATGTGATACCAGAAGACCACTGGTTATAATGACTTCTGATGTTTCTTCTCAGATAGGACACAAGAACAAAGTATTTTCATTACTGAGATGTTAGCTGTTGCTCTCTATCCACATGTCCTCTTGTAGTGTATCTTGAAATACACATCAGATTATTTTTTAAATTCTCATTAAAAATTCTGCCTGGAAAATAGTTATAAAACTGGATAAAATTCTTTAAGATAAGAATGGAAAAATATAGATAATTGTTGAAACTGAGGATGTTTACTTAGAGGTTTATTAAACAATTCTCTGTACTTTTGGGTATGTTTGAAAATTTCCATAATAAAGAGTTTTTAAAAATGCATATATAGCTTAATGAAATTCATGCTGTTTGTCATTAAAAAGGACTTTTCATTTCCCTTACATTTTAAACTGTGATGCTAGCCATTTGAAAGTAACTTTATTGTAGTAGTAACTGCTTTTTTTGTTCATTTATAGGCAAAGATTGAAAATGTGCAGAAAACAGGTTTCATCAAAGGACCAATGTTCAAAGGTGTTGCTTCTAGTCGGTTTTTGCCCAAAGGCACCAAGACAAAAGTTAATTTGGAGGAACAGGGACGACAGAAGGTGTCATTCAGCTTCAGCCTTACAAAGAAAACTTTGCAGAACAGGTTTCTGACGGCACTTGGCAGTGAAAAGCAAAATGATACTCCAAATTCCCCAGTTGTACCTCTTCAAGTAGACTCGACCCCTAAAATTAAAATGGACATTGGAGATACATTATCTACTACAGAAGAATCTTCCCCACCAAAATCAAGGGTAGAATTGGGCAAAATCCATTTTAAGAAACATCTGCTTCATGTAACATCCAGGCCACTGCTGACTTCTACCACAGCAGTGGCATCTCCATCTCCTCCCATAGTACCATTACCAGCAGTCATAGCAGAATCAACAACTGTAGACTCGCCACCCTCATCTCCACCTCCACCACCTCCACCTCCCCAAGCCACAACACCCTCATTACCAGCACCAGTAACAGAGCCAGTGGCCTTGCCACACACACCAGTGACAGTTCTGATGACAGCACCAGTAGATGTAGCTGCTAGAGCATTGAAGGAACCACCAGTTACAATTGTACCAGAATCATCAGAAGTGGACACTAAGCAGGACCCTGTGTCTAATAGTTCAGAAGAACACATAACTCACAATTTGAATGAGCAAGCAGATATTCCTTCACAAAAAGAAGATTCCCATATTGGGAAGGAAGAAGAAATTCCAGATAGTTCTAAGAGTAGTCTGGGCTCTAAAAAAACAGGTTCTAAGAAGAAATCCTCACAATCTGAAGGCACCTTTCTTGGTTCAGAATCGGATGAAGATTCTGTACGGACTTCCTCAAGTCAAAGATCACATGATTTAAAATTTTCAGCCAACATTGAAAAAGAAAGAGATTCAAAAAAGAGCTTAGCAACTTTAAAAAGTGAGGATTTAGGGAAATCTTCACGATCTAAAACAGAGAGAGATGATAAATATTTTAGCTACTCAAAACTTGAAAGAGATACTCGTTATATATCTTCTCGCTGTAGATCAGAGAGAGAGCGAAGGCGGAGCAGGTCTCGTTCTAGATCTGACAGAGGTTCTAGAACTAGTTCATCCTATTCTCGGTCAGAACGATCCCATTATTATGACTCTGATCGTCGCTACCATAGGAGTTCCCCTTATCGAGAGAGGGCACGCTATTCTCGGCCATATACAGATAACAGGGCAAGAGAAAGTTCTGACTCAGAAGATGAGTATAAGAAGACATACTCAAGGCGCACCTCATCTCATTCTTCCTCTTACAGAGACCTAAGGACACCATCCTCCTATTCTAAATCTGATCGAGACTGTAAAACTGAGTCCTCTTATTTAGAGATGGAGAAGAGAGGAAAGTATTCCTCAAAATTAGAAAGAGAATCCAAAAGGACTTCAGAAAATGAAGCAATGAAAAGATGTTGTTCTCCCACTAATGAACTGGGATTCCGACGGGGGTCATCATATTCCAAGCATGGTAACAGTGCTTCCCGTTATAAATCTGCCCCTTCAAAACCTGCACCCAAGTCTGATAAATTTAAAAATTCTTTCTGTTGTACAGAATTGAATGAGGAAATCAAACAGTCTCATTCTTTTAGTTTACAGACTCCTTGTTCAAAAGGTAGTGAATTAAGAATGATTAGTAAAGTTACTGAAAGAGAGAAGATTGGGTCTCCATCTCCATCAAATCGATTAAATGATTCACCTACTTTTAAAAAGCTAGATGAATCACCTGTTTTTAAGTCTGAATTTATAGGACATGATAGCTATGACAGTATTAAGGAATTAGACTCTTTATGTAAAGTGAAGAATGATCAATTAAGAAGTTATTGTCCCACAGAATTTAATATAAATGGATCTCCTGGGGCAGAATCTGATTTGGCAACATTTTGCACTTCTAAACGTGACACTGTTTTGATGTCTTCTGATGATAGTGTGACTGGATCAGAGGTATCCCCTTTGGTCAAAACGTGCATGCTTTCATCAAATGGATTTCAAAATATTAATAGATGTAAAGAAAAAGACTTGGATGATACTCGCATGCAGCATAGTAAGTCAGAAAGCCCATTTAGAGAAACAGAACCTCCAGTGTCGCCACACCAGGATCAACTCATATCTTTGCCAGTTATGACTATAGATTACTCCAAAACAGTAGTTAAAGAACCAGTTGATGGGAGAGTTTCTTGCTGTAAAACCAAAGATTCAGATATATACTGTACTTCAAACGACAGCCGCCCTTCTTTTTGTCATTCCGGAGCTGAAAATACTGAGCCTTTAGTAACGAAGATTTCTTCAAATAGCTTTATGAACATGCATTTGAAATCAAAAACAGTTATATGTGATAATGGAAGTCTGACAGATCAGCACTCAAAATTTGCATGTGGAGAATATAAGCAGAGTGTTGGTAGTACTAGTTCAGCTTCTATTAATCATTTTGATGATTTATATCAACCTACAGGGAGCTCATGTATTGCTTCATCTCTTCAGAGTCTTCCACCAGGAATAAAAGTAGACAGTTTAACTCTCTTGCAATGCGGAGAGAATACATCTTCAGTTTTGGATGCTGTGCTGAAGAGTAAAAGCTCAGAGTTTTTAAAGCATGCAGAGAAAGAAATAATAGAAGTAGGTAGTGGCCTTCCTGATTCAGGAAGAGGATTTGCTTCCTGGGAAGACAGGCATAATAATGGACTATCTGGGAAATGTGTGCAAGAGGCTCAAGAAGAAGGGAATTCCATACTGCCTGATAGAAGAGGAAGACCAGAAATCTCTTTAGATGAAGAAGGTGGAAGAGGACATGCACATACTTCTGATGATTCAGAAGTTGTATTTTCTTCTTGTGATTTGAATTTAATCATGGAGGACAGTGATGGTGTAACATATACCTTAAAATGTGACAGTAGTGGTCATGCCTCAGAGATTGTATCTACTGTCCACGAAGATTATTCTGGTTCTTCCGAAAGTTCAAGTGATGAAAGTGATTCAGAAGATACAGATTCTGATGATAGCAGTATTCCAAGAAACCGTCTTCAGTCTGTTGTGGTTGTGCCAAAGAATTCTACTTTGCCCATGGAAGAAACAAGTCCTTGTTCTTCTAGGAGCAGTCAAAGTTACAGACACTATTCTGACCACTGGGAAGATGAGCGATTGGAGCCAAGGAGGCATTCATATGAGGAAAAATTTGAGAGTGTAGCAAGTAAAGCCTGTCCTCAAACTGAGAAGTTCTTCTTTCATAAAGCAACAGAGAAGAATTCAGAAATTTCTTTTATACAGCCCAGCCGAAAACAGATAGATAATCACATGTCTGAAATTGCTCATCCTCAGAGTGATGGGGTTGATAGTACAAGTCATACAGACATAAAATCTGACCCTCTAGGTCATCCAAATTCTGAGGAAGCAGTGAAAGCCAGAATAACTTCTAGGCAGCAAGAAGAGCTGCCAGTTTATTCTTCTGATGATTTTGAAGATGTCTCAAGTAAGTCTCGGCAACAGACCACTTTCCCTAACAGGCCAGATAGTAGACTGGGGAAAACAGAGTCAAATTTTTCTTCTTGTGAGATCTCCCGAGTGGATGGTTTCCGTTCATCAGAAGAGCTCAGAAATCTAGGGTGGGACTTCTCTCAACAAGAAAAGCCTACTACCACATATCAGCAACCTGACAGCAGCTATGGAGCCTGTGGTGGACACAAGTATCAGCAAAGTGCAGAACAGTATAGTGGGACACATAATTACTGGCAAGGCAATGGCTACTGGGATCCAAGATCAGCAGGTAGACCGCCTGGAACTGGGGTTGTGTATGATCGAATTCAAGGGCAGGTACCAGATTCCTTAACAGATGACCGTGAAGAGGAGGAGAATTGGGATCAACGTGGAGGATCTCACTTTTCAAGCCAGTCCAATAAATTTTTTCTGTCCCTTCAGAAGGACAAGGGATCCGTGCAAGCACCTGAAATAAGCAGCAATTCCATTAAGGACTCTTTAGCTGTGAATGAGAGGAAAGATCTTTTGAAAAACTTAGAAAAAAATGATATGAAAGATAGAGGGCCTCTTAAAAAAAGGAGACAGGAATTGGAGAGTGATTCTGAAAGTGATGGTGAGCTTCAGGACAGAAAGAAAGTTAGAGTGGAGGTAGAGCAGGGAGAGACAGCAGTGCCTCTAGGCTCAGCATTGGTTGGGCCTTCGTGTGTCATGGAGGACTTCAGGGACCCACAGCGGTGGAAGGAATGTGCCAAACAAGGGAAGATGCCTTGTTACTTTGATCTGATTGAAGAAAATGTTTATTTAACAGAAAGGTAAGCCAAATTAATACTTGTTGGACAAGTATTAACCTCGTTTTGTAGGAAAAAAATTAACTTTCAAAAGTTCAGAATATATGAGCTCAATTGTATGAAATATGGTTGTGTGATAAAATGTAACTTAAAAAATTTTAAAAGTGTATTTACCTATTTAGATTTGATGGTGTACAGTCCCCCAATTTTCCCCCCCACCCCACACACAGGAAGGGGATGTCTAAATTTTTTTTTTTTTGGTCCCATTACCTCTTTGGTTCTAGAAGTACATTAAAAAAAGTATATAGACCAGCCCAGTTTTTCTTAAATTTCTTTTACATGTGAAACTGTGGCAGAAAGTGAAACAAAACTCCAGCAAAATAGTCTGCTTTTAGAGAAGAAAAAAGTTACGTTGGATTTTTTTTTCCTTCATTCTGAACATTTTTTTTAACATCTTTATTGGAGTATAATTGCTTTACAATGGTGTGTTAGTTTCTGCTGTATAACAAAGTGAATCAGCTATATAGATACATATATCCCCATATCTCCTCCCTCTTGCGTCTCCCTCCCACTCTCCTGATACTATCCCACCCCTCTAGGTGGACACAAAGCACCGAGCTGACCTCCCTGTGCTATGCGGCTGCTTCCCACTAGATATCTGTTGTGCATTTGGTAGTGTATATATGTCCGTGCCACTCTCTCACTTCGTCCCAGCTTACCCTTCCCCCTCCCGGTGTCCTCAAGTCCAATCTCTACGTCTGCGTTTTTATTCCTGTCCTGCCCATAGGTTCTTCAGAACCTTTTTTTTTTTTTTTAGATTCCATATATATGTGTTAGCATACGGTATTTGTTTTTCTCTTTCTGACTTCACTCTGTATGACAGTCTCTAGGTCCATCCACGTCACTAGAAATAACTCAACTTCGTTTCTTTTTAAAAATATGGAACCCTTCACGAATTTGCATGTCGTCCTTGCGCAGGGGCCGTGCTATTTTCTCTGTATTGTTCCAATTTTAGTATATATGCTACAGAAGCGAGCACCATTCTGAACATTTTTGAAAAATATCTTTAGGTACTTTACAAGCTGGAACTCGATTAGAATATAGTTTTCTTTTGTCATGTTTCAAAATCTGTTGCTAGTAGATTAAACTTGGCAATAGCATAACAAGTCTTTAAGTTTTAAATGGTGAAATCCCTAACATGAAACAAGGTATAATGAGACTAGGATAATAAAAACAAATTCCTAGAGCACAGATTCTCAGTCGACTTTCTTTCACCTCTCTTTGATAATCTTGTTTTCCCAATGTAAATATATGTTGAATATGCCTTTAAAAAAAATTTATAGTCTCCTAACCACCTACCTCCTTTTGGAAATTTCTCCTCTAGTTGAGAATCAACTTAGCCATCATCCCTTTAAGCATTCAGAATTTTTTAAAATGAAGACATTTTCCACTGTGGATAAGGTAAAAGACTTCATCTTAAAGTTAGACCCATCAGAAGTTTTTCCTATTTAAATAGCAAAAAAAAAAAAACCACTTTTTTTTTAAGGATAAAGCGGGCCTCTTACAATTACGTTCATTTGTAACTAGTTGTAAATTAGGTTTAACTTCAAAATATTGAATATTTTAAGTGGTACTCCTTAAGAATTTTGTGAGTAGAGTGATGCAACTTACATGATCTTTGTGAAAGAATAGAAATAAAATTAATCAACCCAACCCTCTGGATTTTATTCAGTGAGTTTCATATACATAATTGGTTGGTGAGAGGCATTTTAAAGTGCTTGATATAAGCTGGGCATTTATAGAAGCCACTAAGAAGACAAATTATTGTAAAATAGTATGTGCATTCTTATGTCTAGTGAAAATAGGCTTACCTGAGCGAAATCTGTGCCCGTTAGTCCTCATCTGGCCTTTTTGGAGCAATACAAAATAAAGCTACTGTTTTTACACATAGCTCTTAAGTACTTATAAAAAGATAATTTGTTTATCTTTAGTCATCTTTCTTCAGGCTAAGCATGTTCTTATGCTCATTAATGAATTATATCTTTAATTGATCCAGATGAATCATACTTGTTATTCAAACTTAGTGGAAACTATCATGACACACTAGGTACTTTATAAAACTGAGACTGTAGTAGAACATATGTTGGAGATGAAAGCAGATTAGTTAGATTAAGACAGTCACTTAGAGCAGCTGTGCTCTTCACTTGTCTAATAGCTGAAGAGTAAGTCATAGTTCCCTAATCTTAAGAAAGGGATCTTATTCGTCTGTCCTTGATTTTTTTTTTTCCTTTTTGACAAAGATCAAAAAATAGAGTTCAACAAAAAGACCAGTAAATAATCACATTTTCACTTTTGCTTTGCAAACTCTGGCTTAGGTTTTTATGAACCCAGTCAATTTCGAACATTTATCTTCTCCCCGCCAAATCTACACTGAGAAAGTTTAGTCCTCTGTAGTAATGCTATTCTATAATAATATATACGTCATTCTTTTTTCTTTTTTAAATCATTCAGTCTTCTTTTAAACAGGATTTGTACAAAAGTGATGTTGCTAAAGGATTCTCTAAAGGATTTGATTGAGCTAAATTCTTAATTAAAAACTCCTTTTTCTTTCTAAAGCAACTCCTTTTCTTCCTTAGCCTTGTATCTCAACTATTATTTGTATATCCATGAGGCCTGATTCTTTTTTTTTTTTTTGGGCTGCTCCACTGCATGCGAGATCCTAGTTCCCCGACCAGGGATTGATCCCTCGCCCCCTGCAGTGGAATCGCGGAGTCTTAACCACTGGACTGCAGGGAAGTCCATGAGGACTGATTCTTAAACCTAACTTTAATTAATCAGCTATGTTATTATTTGATATTCATGAGTTTTCCTATTTCTCTGTGGAGCCAAATATGACTATTAACATTTGAAACTGCTCAGAGTTCAAGGTTTAGATGACAAGGACTAGGAAATAAGGACTGAGTCCAAAATGATAGACCTGAACTTACCCCAGCTTCCCATTTGCCAAGGCTGAGGTTGTCTCTCTCACCTGTTTTGCAATACAATTCCTAGTGTTTTCAGTCTCATAAATGCTTAGTGGTTAGATGTTTTCTTCTTTTTGAATGATTGACTTAACGAGAATCATTAAATGGGAAACTAGTGAGATTTAGCACATTTTTGATTGTGTATGTTGTATCATTGCCAGGACATTTTTTTAACCAATTTTAATAAAATTTTACCCACTAGAAAGAAGAATAAATCCCATCGGGATATTAAGCGAATGCAGTGTGAGTGTACACCTCTTTCTAAAGATGAAAGAGCTCAAGGTGAAATAGCATGTGGGGAAGATTGTCTTAATCGTCTCCTCATGATTGAATGGTAAGTAAATTAGAATGCTCTGCTTTTGCTCAACTATTCTATTAAATGTCTCTAAATTTTAAGAAGAATTATTAGGAGTAAAATTTAACTTTTCTCCTTCTACCTATTGTGGAGTATTTCTGAGCAATGAAATCTCCAATGTGTAATAGTGTTTATAAGGAGGCAGATTTCCCTTGCATTGTGCGTTAGATTATAGTACATATTGTAAGTGCTCTGTAAAGTAGCCATAATGCTAACATAGTAATACTAATTTTTACCCAGTCTCCTTTTATCTTCTGTAAGGTTCACGTCCTGAAAGGTAAATGTTGGTATTTTTTAGCTTTTACTATAAAAATAAGCTAAAACCCTAACATTTCAAAAGTGCTTGAAGTAAAATGTCTTGCTCCCCCAAGCCTCAATCCCTCTATTTGTAGTCTTTCCAGATAATTTTTATGCCTATACCAGCATGGGTAGACGTTTCCTCTTTTTATGTGTAGAAATGAAATCCTTACTATATGTACTTTTTGAAACTTTGTTCCCTCTCACCTGCCACACACACTTTTCTTTTTTTTAATAATTTTTTTTTTAATGTAACTTTGGCTGCAGTGGGACTTCATTGCTGTGCGCGGGCTTTCCCTAGTTGTGGCGAGCGGGGGCCACTACCTGCCACCATGCACGGGCCCCTCATCGTGGTAGCTGCTCTTGTTGCAGAGCATGGGCTCTAGGCACGCGGGCCTCAGTAGCTGTGGCTCGTGGGCTTTAGAGCACAGGCTCAGTAGTTGTGGCGCACGGACCAAGTTGCTCCGGGACATTTGGGATCCTCCCGGACCAGGGCTCGAATGCATGTCCCCTGCATTGGCAGGCGGATTCTTTAACCACTGTGCCACTAGGGAAGTCCCCACACTTTTAATTAAATATGTTTTGGAGACCTATTCAGAGCTACATATTTAGACCTATCTAAATCTTTCTCTTGACTACATTATGTATTCTATTCATAGTTAACCCATATTTATTAATCTTCTATTGATAGACATTTGCTTCCATATTTTTCATATAAACAGTAAATATCTTTACATTAAAAAATGTGATTTTTAAAAAAAACCAGTCGGATTGAAAATTGTATCATTTTTAACATGGAAAGAATATTAAGGTGATTTATAGTGTAGGTACCTTATTTTTAGTGTTAATGAAGTGTTTTTTTCCAAAACTCAGTTTTTGGTTTTGCTTATGTAATAGTGTTACAAAAATAAAACATATAGCTCAAAAAATAAAAAAGAGAAAGCATTTTTGGTATTTTTAAATGTAAACTAAAAGCAGAGATGACAGTAAACATATAAGGAGAGAAGAGGGATTTCCTTGGTGGCACAGTGGTTAAGAGTCCGCCTGCCAATGCAGGGGACACGGGTTTGAGCCCTGGTCTGGGAAGATCCCACATGCCGTGGAGCAACTAAGCCTGTGCGCCACAACTACTGAGCCTGCGCTCTAGAGCCCACAAGCCACAACTACTGAGCCCGTGTGCCACAACTACTGAAACCTGTGAGCCTAGAGCCCGTGCTCCGCAACGAGAAGCCACCACGATGAGAAGCCTGCACACTGCAACTAAGAGTAGCCGCCACTCACCACAACCAGAGAAAGCCCACGCACAGCAACAAAGACCCAACGCAGCCAAATTAATTAATTAATTAAAAAAGAAGAGAAGACATAAGAACAGTATTCTCCTAATTTGACATTGTTGCCCTAGTCTCTGCATTTTTCTGGTTTTTCCTGTCAACCTTGTTGAACAGATATGAAGTACAGAAATTCTTTTTTTTGTTATTCCCACGCTCAAAACTTAGTGGTTCTCAAGATTAGGTTCAAATATAACCTTGGTATTGAGAGCCCTTCATAGTACATCAACAACCTGCCTTTTCATCTTCCAGCAACCCACCTTTCTTATCAGTTATCCTTAGCTATTTTATTCCCCTTTTCTCAAGTAGGCCTTGTTTCCTATTTCTGCACACAGGTGGGCACTATCATTGTACCTCTTGTTTTCCTTATCTGTCCATATCCTCTATGTCATTAGAAATTCTGCTTTAATCCTACTCCTTCCGGAAAGCTTTCTTTCACTGCTTCTCTCCAGAGTGAATCCTTTATCCGTTGGACATCTGTAAAAATGTTGCTTACTACTACTGGTTTGGCAATAAATAATAATATGTTGGAAATAGTAATTTTTATTGTAGCCTTACTCAGTATTAAAAACCTTTGTATCTGTAAGCTTTGGAATATTAAGAATTCAGTAAATTTTTGATTTTATTTTTATTCTAGGATCCATGAGGGAAGAGCCTTGCCAGTTTTTATTGTGCTTACTCTGAACAGAGATATGTTTAATGACGACTTTGGTTTCTCTTAAATGTAGCTCAAGTAGTTAGCTACATTCAGAAGATGAAATTAGTGATGATTGGAGTGGAATATAAGAGAAGGTGCACTGATTGAAAATAAGTTAGCTCTGCATAGTTGTCAGAGTACTGCAAACTTACATGCAGCCTGGAAATGTATCTTAGACACTCAGGGAGGGGTAATGACCAGTTGACAAGACTGTATTTTGGGCATCATCTGTTTAACAATGTAGACACTCAATTTTAAGGAATCCCTTCATGATGGAAAGAATTATTGAGGAAGGCTCACTTGGAGGTTTACCACACATATGCTGATTATGCCATAAAGATATGGATATATTTACATAACATTCTAGTGAACATGTTTTTGGTTCTTTTGCTGCTTTGAAGAATTAATTTTCTCCTTTTCTCATTTCAGTTCTTCTCGTTGTCCAAATGGGGATTATTGTTCCAATAGACGGTTTCAAAGAAAACAGCATGCAGATGTGGAAGTCATACTCACAGAAAAGAAAGGCTGGGGCTTGAGAGCTGCTAAAGACCTTCCTTCGTAAGTTGTTTTAATCGTCTTTCACTTCATTTGTGTTGTTGAAGTTGGTTAGATACTTTTTAGGAAAATAATTTGCCTATTACACTGAAGTTTAATAATGATTATTGTGCAGAATGACCACTTGGTAGCTAGTTTGTTCGTTTTAAATTCACTTCTTTTAGGAAATTAAATAGAAATCTCTTCTGTCTATATATGAGAGAGCAGTTTGTCCCTTGTGATATTTGGACTAGGCCGGTCCTTCTTTGTCTGATAGTTATGTTACCTTAATTCCAAGTAATTACCAAGTATTTGCTGTAGATCCCCACAATCCCTATGAAACTCTATAAAAAGGAGTTAGGACGGAATCTATAAAGTTGAATCTATATAAAGTTTAGTTGGGATAAGAGTAGTGGAGAGTCTGAGGATATTGAGATAGAGAATTAAAGCATACTTGATAGATACTCATTAAACATTTTTGAATGAATAAATGTTGCCTTCTAAAGTCATGTAACTTTTATATGTAATGCAATAAAAGGTTCAGTTTTATTTTCTACCATATTCGGTATTTCCTTTAACCACCAATTTTCTTACATATAGCATATTTAAGTATTCTTATGAAAGTTGAGTACCTTTTTCTTTAAAGTTAAGTATATACAGATTACATTTGTTTATGATTGAAGAATTTTTAAAAATACATCAAAGGAATAAAGGAAGAAAAACAATTGCTGATTCTAGTGATTCAGGCACAACTATTCTTTCAGAATCCTAAGCATATGGCCAAACTTGAATGGGAATTGGGATGGAGTGAGGGGTTTTAGTCTTTTTATTGTGGGGATTCAAAGCAACCAGGTAGCAAAAAACCTAATAATAACCACCACCACTACCACCAGGTAATTTAGTTTTCTGACAGGAACCTCATATATCTTTTGAAAGCCAAATCATTTAGTTTTTATTGTGAAAATAGGAAATGATCTTATCCTTTTGCGAACCAACCAGAAAAAAACCATGTTTTATTATATAAAAAAGTAGATAGTAGGAACCTCATATATTTCCCTTTTCTGCAAAGTATTATCAGAGTATTTTGGTTTATAACCATTTTTAAATTGTTTATTTGAAACAAGTATCTCAATCATCTCAGTATGTTTCATATCCAAATTCATTGGATCCTTTATAATATTTTAAATAAATAATAGACTAAGCTTCCCTTGAACACTGTTAACAACACTGAACTCAGTACTTGCCAAGGCAGTCTGGTGCATTTCTAAAATCACTAACTCTGGTCTAGATGCAGGTTTTTAGGTATGCTTTCTTTTACTCTACTCAAGCCAGCAGGCTTTTCTTTTGGAGAGTCTTTTTAAAATTTTTTTAAAGGAACTCCAGTTTGGACATAACCCTCTCTTACAGGGGTAGTAATGGACACTGCCTCTTGGCAGAGTCTGCACTAACATAGCTTCAACTTTAATGTAAATTCTTGTTGTATGCAACAGAGACTATTTGATGGCTCAGGAGTCCGTTTCTGTTATGAGGAAGGAGATGGGAGAAGAGAGGAGAGAATGTGTGACTGGTTCACATAGCAGGTTAAAATTTCCTAAAGCTCTTTAGCTTTCCTCAGCTACTCACAAAGAACCCTGCTTTGGTAAAATATACCAGGACTTAATGTTTCCATGATTCCCACACTTTCACTCATGTACTTCCATGTGCTGATGGTAATACCAATTTTATAAATTTTTAACTCTAAGCTATTTAGGTGTTCACTGGTAGAGTATTCCCATTTAAGAAGGGCATACTGTCAGATGTGCACAGTATGAGGAGGAGGTATTTGGAACAAACTGCTAGTTACTGTTAAAATACCATGACAGACTCCACCAAAAAAAAAAGCAAATTCTTACCAAAACCCTCAAGTTTTAGGCTGTAGGAATGGAAGGCAGTGCTGTCCAGGTTGACTTAATGTTATTGGATACCAAATGGGACTTCGTTTTTTTGGGATGGGGGGGTGGAGTAAAATTCAAACAATATATTATTAGCCTTTTTAAAGTGCATGATTCAGTGACATTTAGTACCTTCATAATATTGGGCAGCTATCACCTCTGTCTAGTTCCAAAAATTTTTATCACCCCAAAAGGAAACCCCTTACCCATTAAGCAGATTCTCCCTATTGCCCCCTCTTCCCAGCCCTTGGCAACCTCTAAATCTGCCATCTCTGTGGATTTACCTATTCTAGATATTTATATGAAATATAAATGTGGCTTTTTGTTTCTGGCTTCTTAAAGCTGTTAAACATAGCATTTTTTTAGCGTGGCCAAAAAAAAAAAAAAAAGGAGAAGTATACTGATTATGTCAGTATATCATAACAAATACGAATGATTTACATTTTTAAATTTTAAAAATCTCTTTGGTTAGTGTTAGGGCACGTTTGTTTATTTTCTCTCTGCACGTCTTGTGGGGTCTTAGTTCCCCGACCAGGGAATGAACCCAGGCCCCAGCAATGAAAGCGCTGAGTCCTAACCACTGGACAGCCAGGGAATTCCAGGGCATGTTTATTTTGAAAGGGTAAGACAAGACTTCTGGGTAGGTCACTTCAGGTCAGAACTTGGGAGTAAACCGTAGAGAAGCATTTCTTTACATGGAGGTAATACTTGAAGTCATTGGTGAGAATGAGCTTTTATAAAATAAAGGGAGAGGGAAGAGACTGAGAATATCTTCAATAGAGAAGAAATAGGTAAATAACCATGAACAATCAAAGGTAGAAGGTAACTGAAAGAAGCCAAGGAGAGAGCTTAATCATGACTGTTGATAAATGCTAGAGAAAACTCACAGAGAATGCAGTCAGAGAAAAGGTATATTTGACCTTTAACATCATTAGAGACCTTTGAGAGTAAAGATAGTAGAAGGGCTGCTGTATTTAAGTTGCCTTCTTTTTTCTTAGGACATAAAGCCTCTAATTTTTCACTGCTTCTGATTTCTTCACAACCATTTCTCAGTTGTGAATCATTGTTTTCATGATAATGTAAACCAGACTTGAAAGTTCGTTTTAATATCTAGTGAGAGCGAGGATATGCATTTTGGTATAAGTGTAAATTATAAAAGCTTCTTAGAGTCAACATTCTTTGAAAAGTATTAGGAAGGAGAAAATTAACCTCGATTAGTTGCTAGGCACTTTACATATATTTTAATTACATCTTGTGTAATAGCAAATCTGTCCACTTTACAATAGTTTTTAAAATTCATTATTTTTGCATGGATGTATGTGTTTTCCGTATATCTCCTAGGCAGGAAATACTGTTTTTCTTTTGCCAGGAACACCTTTGTCCTGGAATATTGTGGAGAGGTACTTGATCATAAAGAGTTTAAAGCCCGGGTAAAGGAGTATGCACGAAACAAAAACATCCACTACTATTTCATGGCCCTGAAGAATGATGAGGTAAGTGGCATGATTGTGTTTGTTTTGAAACAGATCTGGAAATTCTTGAGTTTGAAAGGGGTCATTGATATGGACTGATCTTTAAAATATATTAAGTGACCAAAATAAGGAGCTGAACAGTGTGGATAGTTTTTTTCTATTTGCTTACAAAAAAGAATGAGGGAGAGGGGGGTATTTACATGTATATGTAAATGTAAACATACATGCTTCATACTACAATTCTTAAAAACTATTGATAGCCCCCAAAGAGCTTTTGTTTATGTAGATTATATTTATCAATATTTATATTAAAGACGAAAGCTGAGAAGTTGAAAATACTTATTTTTTATTAAACCATTTAAAAGTGACAATAAGCAAGCCTATTACGTTGACACAAATAGCATATGCTTTTGTGAAAATTAAGTATTTTCCAAAAAGCTTTTTTTTTTTTTAGTGAGGAGTACCATTTACAAATCTCTTTAATGTCTGACTTACTAGAATTTAGCTAGATTCTCATGTCTGCCTCTACATCCAATCTGGAAATGCAAGTTGTAGGGAACTATCCTAGTAGGACCTGTTGAATCTCACTCTGAGGGTGGGCTCAGCAAGAGTTTTAACAAGCTCTCAGTGGATTCAGATACATACTCAAGTTTGAGAGCTGCTGCACTGTGGTATCGCATGCATTTGAAAATGAAGTTTTAAAAACTTGAAGTAAGATTGGAATATAATAGGATGTAAGAAGTAGCTAAAAGAAAATGAGACATTGATAGATATGGAGATAATTTTGCCCCCTAGGTAAAATGTTGATAGTTAGAGATCTTTCTGAGGAAGACATTGGATATTTGTCACTTTGATGTGTAAAGTGATATGAGAGAGTTCTCAGAAGGAATGGGGGATTAGGGGTAAGGGTCTTAAATTTGCTGGATGCCTTGCCTTTGCAAAATGCACATATGTTTTAAGGTCTCTTTTTTTTTTTTGCGGTATGCGGGCCTCTCACTGTTGTGGCCTCTCCCGTTGCGGAGCACAGGCTCCGGATGCGCAGGCTCAGTGGCCATGGCTCACGGGCCCAGCCGCTCCACGGCATGTGGGATCTTCCCAGACCGGGGCACAAACCCGTGTCCCCTGCATTGGCAGGCGGACTCTCAACCACTGAGCCACCAGGGAAAGCCCCTAAGGTCTCATTTTTAACTGTTAAATTATCCTTTTCCCTAGATAATAGATGCCACTCAGAAAGGAAATTGCTCCCGGTTCATGAATCACAGCTGTGAACCAAACTGTGAGACTCAAAAAGTAAGTTGAGGTAGATTTAGAGTTTGGGATATTTGTTCAAGACTGCTGTTCTGACTGTTAATTTTAGATTCTATACCAAAGGTACGCATGGATATTATTTTTTAATCATTGTACTGATTTTTTTCTTACTCTTAAACTTTTTTTTGAAATAAGTTTAGATGTATAAAATAATAAATAGTGTTGAAATAGTACAGAGTTCCCATATATTATCCTTCACTAACTTCTGCAAATGTCTACATTGAACATAACCATAATATAATTACCCAATCCAGGAAATACTATTAACTACTAACTAGTCTAAAGACCTTATTCAAGTTTTGCCATATGTCATTTTTCTAGTCTAGGATCCAATCCAGGAACTCCAGTTGCATTTAATTGTCACATCTCTGCCCATAAATTTTAGATATTGTTTAAGGTGCCGAAATGAAAAACTAAATTTTAATTTTGATGAAGTCCAGTGTGTACTGTTATATTCAGATTTTATATCAGTCTTATCCAGGTGCCAAATTTGGTAGTTTTAATAACATTTATAAGGGGCTGAATGGCCACAGATGAGAGAGACGATATATGGTATGCATGTGGATATACTGCTCCTCCTCAACAAGGCCAGACTTTGGGTCTTGGTTATCTTTATGTCCCTGTGCCTGGCACACAGTTGACACTTGATAAATTCATTTACCGAATTCGATGTAATATTTCGAGGTAATGATCTTGGTACCCTCTAATTTGTGTTTTAAGCTTAGAGTTAAAAAAAAAAGCATATAGATACATATATATGCACATTAGAACATATATATGCACATTAGAATATTGGTTCTTTTTTAGGTTAAGAAAGCTGTGGACCCACGCCCTAGAAAAATATATCAGTGATTTCCTCTCACATTGAATAGTTTTGACTCTTGGATATTTTTTGCTCTTTGATATCTGTACTTATAGATCTTAGATACAGCTCTTCCAAGAGCCAAAACATATAACGAATAGGAGAACCCAGTGTGAAATTATTTAACCTAATTAAGTTCTGGTTCTATTTTTGCCTGCAGTTGGTGGCCACATGTCTAGCTGTGAGACTCCAACTGTACTGTTTCCCTTCACCTCTTTAAGTCTGGGTTTTTCATCAGTAGCAGGTTCAAATGGTCTGGACAGGCGCTTTCCAGTCAATTTACATATTCTGGAACTACAAGGTCCAATCCCTGTGTATTTACCCCCATTTTAATTTTTGAGTTTTATGTATCTGCTCTGATGCTTCCCTTCCCTTTCTCTACACTCAGCATTATGACCACTGTTTCATGAAATTAAACTTCTGGCATTGTTGTTTTCCTTTTTCCACGCCCCATCTTATCTTATAGTTACTTTTAACATAAGGTAGTACAAATTCGCCTGGTACTCAGTGACACCAAGCATTCTATATTTGCCTATTTTTACTACAAGTGAATCTTTACTGTGTGAAAATGTGTATTAAGGTAAGTTAAAGTAGCAGTTACTTTTTTTTTTTTTTTTTTTTTTTGCGGTACGTGGGCCTCACTGCTGTGGCCTCTCCCGCTGCAGAGCACAGGCTCCAGACGTGCAGGCTCATTGGCCATGGCTCACGGGCCCAGCCGCTCCACGGCACGTGGTATCCTCCCGGACCGGGGCACGAACCTGCGTCCCCTGCATCGGCAGGCGGACTCCCAACCACTGCGCCACCAGGGAAGCCCCAGCAGTTACTTTTATTAGAGTTAAATTATAGATGATATTCATCTGGTAGCTCATTAAATAAGAGTGATACTTAAGTTTATTTTGTTTTTTAATTTTCCTGTTAGCTATTTGGAAAAGCCTTTATTATCTAAAGAGGCACATGCACAATTAAGGCAGATGATGATGATCTTTTTTTAAAAAACACCCACACACACATAGATTAACCAGTTACTAATTTCTTTTCTTTTAAAAACAACATCTCAGTGGACTGTGAATGGACAACTGAGAGTTGGGTTTTTTACCACCAAACTGGTTCCTTCAGGCTCAGAGTTAACATTTGACTATCAGTTCCAAAGATATGGGTAAGTATTGATTCCGTTCTGTTTTGCTGCTTCTGATGCAGAAATAGACTGTTCAGATATAGGAATCTAAAACTTAGATGTGAATTACTAAGAAGTTATATGTACTGTCAGTTCTTATCTATAGTGTTCTCTTTTAGTTCTGTGTATTTTCCTTCTGTATGACACTTCAGGCCATTAAGGGATATTGTACAGGAACTACATGTTCCTCCTCTGAACTTCATGCTGCCTTATTTATATAGTTATGTTTCTAATATAATTTTAAAACTTTCTATTACAGAAATGTCAACAGGGTGTTGACATGGTATAAAGAGAACAATATAATGAATCCCTGTGTGGCCATAATTCATCTGTCAGTTATTAGTTCATGACTTTATCATGTCTCATCTATACCATATTGTACTCTGAAAAATAATTTGTTACCTAGTTCTACCAAAACCAGTAACTGATGCAATAGCACTGAATACCCCTAGCATTTATATTGTGGTTTTAATAAAACCCCACTAAAAGGAACAGGGTTCCTCGGAGAAATGTCTGGTGTCAACTTTGGGACAGGTATTAAACAAGATGACTCTGGATTATCTCCTCATACCAGAAAACCAGTTATAAAAGATAAGGAGGGTCATGTCAAAGGGACTTCGGAGATAGCTTGAATAGAATCTCACTTACCAAAAGTGGGAGGGTTCTTATTAACACTTAAGCATCATTAAGAATAATAATGGCGAGTGGTTTGAAACACACTACATAAAATCCATGAGTTTTAATGACATTTTAAAAATAAAAGCGCATTAGTCATAATTGAAAGGAACCAATTCATGATCTTGAAAACTAGTTTTTGGTTTTTTTTAATTGAAGTATAGTTGATGTGCAATATTACATAAGTTACAGGTATACAACATAGTGAATAACAATTTTTAAAGGTTATGTTCCATCTATAGTTACTACAAAACACTGGCTATATTCCCTCTATTGTACAGTACATCCTAGTAGCTTATTTATTTTATGCATAATAGTTATATCTCTTAATCCCCTATCCCTCTTTTGCCCCTTCCCCTCTCCCTATGAGTAACCACTAGTTCAAAAATTAAAAGAAGAAAAAAATCAAGCATTTACCCTTCCTTTCCCAAGTGAATTTTTGATTAAACCAAGCAGTTGGTGAGAGGAAATTCTTTATAGAGGTTATTTTAGCTAATAAATGAAGCAGTAATGGTATCACCATTTTGCAACACCTCATAAACTAGTGGATCTAGGCAATGGTCAAGTATTCTGGGGTTGACCAGGTTCCATGTAGGGCTCCATTATTTTTTTTTTCCTCTTGTATTTGTACTGTCCTCTTTGAAAGAAAGGAAACTGGAAATTAAGTGCTGTTTGTGATTCCCTGCTGTATTTATCAAATATTTTTGTGCCTCTGATTGCTACTGTTATATACTAAATCTATCAGTTTACTTTTGGAATAGTCCTTCATGTTTTCCTTGGGTAGCTCTGGTTGCAGAGTAAATAAATGGCAGAGGGCTGTAGACTTAGGCCTGTATTCTTTCCTCCACTTTACCTTGACACCATGGTTACATTTACTTATTACTATATTTATTAGTAGTGTCTCATCCTTATGTAATGATAACTTTTAATAACCATGTGTTTCCTTCTAAGTGCCCTTTACTAATTATGCTTTTTATATCTGTTCATAATAATACATTTTGTTCTGTGTGTCAGTTAAATATTTACATATAAGTTATAGGTGTTGATCTATTTAAGCAATTTTGTTCTTAGCCCCAACAGGTATATAAGATCTCTTATTTTCATACATTAGTAGAAGCTCTCATAAATGGAGAAATTACTTATTAATTTCTTGGTTAGTTTTGTCTAGCTAATAAAGAATGACTTTTAAGAGCAATTTTCAGGCATTTCTATTAGTATCAGGTTTGTTGGTGTCTCTTAAAAAAACTTTTTTTCCTTTAAGCTGGATTGACTCTTCTCCTGTATGTAATTGCTATACTATCAACATTTTTTATGGTTTACTTTCACATAATTGACATCTTTCTTATGCTCCTCGAACAGGAAAGAAGCACAGAAATGTTTCTGTGGGTCGGCTAATTGCCGGGGTTACCTGGGAGGAGAGAACAGAGTCAGCATCAGAGCAGCAGGAGGGAAAATGAAGAAAGAACGATCTCGGAAGAAGGATTCGGTAAGTGTTCCATTCTTCTTTCAACTGTCACCATGTGCATTTTAAGAAGGGAGGTAGCTTTCCTGATTGAACTTTGAAAAGTCAAACTACAACCAGAGAAATTCAGGGTCAAATGAGATAATCATGGAAAAGTACGATTGCTATTTTTGTTTCATGGAGGTTAGACGTGGATACTGAGAACTATTGAAGGCATCTTGAAAACAGACAGGCTAATAGTTTTTGAGAGCCTGTAAAACTCCTAATCTTATGTATAAGTAACATGTTTATCTGTTGACTCACATAAGTCTGATCTACATTCCTAATCTTTTAATATTGTTTTGTCTTTTGTTTGCATGTGCTCTTAAAATCTCTCAAAATCCTCCTTGGAGAGTAAGGTGAGTTTTGAGAGGTAACAGGCAACCCAAGAGTGAGAAAGGGATAGTCTCAGATGGTCTTTGTATTTAATCCGTTAGAACAGTGGTTGATAGCCTTTTTTCTACCCCAGTTCACCTGAGTTACAACTGGAGGTGAGTGGTATCTTGCTACTACAGGAGCTCTTAACTGGGACAAGAATTTTGTGTCGTTTTTAAAAAATCCCCCCTGCCCTTTTTCTGAGGATCCCTTTGTCAGAGCAGTGTTTCTCCACCTCAGAACCACTTGGCAGGGTCCATTGTAAAAATGCACATTTTGGGGCCTATCCGCAGACCTGTGAATCTTAGTGGAGGGCCAGAAGGAGCCAGGGGGCCAGAGGTGTTAGCCAGCAAATCCACCTGTGAGTCTTTTGCACTTAGCTCATTCTTAGGCTTTTCAGGAACCCATACTTATGTTAAGAATTATAAATGACAGCAGTCTTACTATTTAGTTGAGCAGGTAGAACACATAAGTCAGGAAAGGGATAAAAATATAATAGTTAAAAGGTGATGTCAGTAAACCCAAATTAATTGGAGAGAATTAGTTATTGAGAATCTGAATTCTATAAGAAGACTTAGATAGCAGGAAGCATTAGAAAGGGCCATTTAAAAATTAAAAAAAAAAAGGGGGTCATTTAAAAAATGCAAAAAGGGAAAGTTTACAAGAAACACCCATGCTTCTGCCACCCAAGATGAACAAATGCTCTTTAGAGTATTGTTGCTTCAGTTCTATTTTTTAGAGAGCGTATATATTGTAACTGTGTGCTAAGCACTCTTCTAAGCGCCTGACACATTAACTCATTTAATTCTCACAATAAGCCCTTTAAGTTAGGTACAAGGATTTTCCCTCTTTTACAGATGAGAACACTAAAGCACAGAGGTTACAAGGTTGCCCAATAAGCGACGGGAAAGAGCTAGTCTAGCTCTTTTCTTTGCTTTTAACTGTATTGAGTTCCTTTGTGTAGAGTTTTAGAAATGATATATATATAGATATATATATATTTCTACAGTTTTTAAAAAAATTTTTATTTATTTTTTGGCTGTGTTGGGTCTTCGTTGCTGCACGTGGGCTTTCTTTAGTTGCGGTGAGCGGGGGCTACTCTTCATTGCCGTGCGTGGGCTTCTCATTGCAGTGGCTTCTCTTGTTGCGGAGCACAGGCTCTTTCTTAACCACTGCGCCACCAGGGAAACCCCCACAATTTGTTTCTTACTCTTCCATGTTGATATATGTGTATGTATATATATATGTACATTTTTAACTGCTGTAAAGGTTTTCATCATATAACAGTTTATTTACATATATTCCTACTGATGAACACTTGTGTTTCCAATCTTTTGCTCTTAATGTCTTTGCACATGTCTCTTCTGTACATGTTTCTTTAAGGTATATCCATGGAAGTGGGGTCACTGGGTCATAGCCTATTAGCTTTTGGACCTGACTATTACAGGAAATTTTTCTTTAAACTTCATCAAGATTACTTACCAGAGCAACCACAAAGTAGTCATTAAACATGTTGACCTAAGCTAAAATCTCCATAAAAGCTTCCCTTTGGCTATTTTCTGTTTTCAAAACTTACATTAAAAACTGCATTATTGGTGGGGAGCGTTGTTGTAGTGTGATGGTTTCCTGGGTGGTATTATACTGCCATCATAACAATATCAGATGGCTTTCTACCTTCCTGGTAAGATTCAAGAACAACCCCAAGGGACCAAGACGTAGGTATTCCTGGTTTTTGCTTGCTTGTTTTTATTCTGGTAATAGTGTGTCCATATCAGTATTTTATGGTATTGTAGACTAAATTAGATGTAAAGTGAATCTAGTCAGTTGGTGGGCTGAAGTCATGGGTTGCTCCAGATGTGAATTTATTTATTTATTTTTGGCTGCTTTGGGTCTTCGTTGCTGCACACAGGCTTTCCCTTAGTTACAGTGAGCAGGGGCTACTCTTTGTTGCGGTGCATGGGCTTCTCATTGCAGTGGCTTCTCTTGTTGCGGAGCATGGGCTCTAGGTGCGCGAGCTTCAGTAGTTGTGGCTCGCCGGCTCTAGAGCGCAGGCTTAGTAGTTGTGGCTCATGGGCTTCGTTGCTCCGCGGCATGTGGGATCTTCCCGGACCAGGGCTCGAACCCGTTTCCCCTGCATTAGCAGGCGGATTCTTAAGCACTGCACCACCAGTGAAGCCCTCCAAATGTGAATTTGAAGCTGTTCTGGAACAGGGATGTTTTGGATGAAACTTTGCCCTGATAGAGGAATGACCCAGAGTGAATCTGGGTTCCTAGAAGGGTCATTTGTCCCTTGACTGTAATGAAGAGTTTAACTCCACTTTGGTTTTAATTGGATTGGTCTCCTACTGAAATTGTGGCTGGATGCTTAGATTCTGAGTTCTGGTCAGGTACAGTTGAATAGAATCACAAAAGTAGCACCTCTTGAAATTCCCAAGTGTTAAGGAGTTCCCTGGCAGGGAACTCAGTGCTTTCACTGCCATAACCCTGGGTTCCATCCCTGGTCGGGGAACTAAGATCCCACAAACTGTGTGGTACAGCAAAAAAAAAAAAAAAAGGAAAGAAAGAAATTTCCAAGTGTTAGTTTTTGGAATTCTTTTGGGTAGGGGATGCCGTGGAAAGGAAAAGATAGCAGCAGTTTAAGATATAGTTTTGCATATTTTAACTATTAACAAGAATATTTTAATGGCACTGTAGTCTGCATCTGCCCTCCCATATTAACCTTTGATTGGTGAACATTTCTTATTCCTTGCTCTTATGATTGAAGCTATGTACATACAGTTTATCCACTTAAAAACTGTAAGCTCTTCCAGGACAGGTGATTGTCTTCTTTGGATATGTCACAAACTAGGTACTTAATTAAATACTTAGTTGATGAGGTATAATAAATCCACACTATTATCTGATGTTATTTGTAGATTGTAAATTATAAACAGGGAATAGTCCGAAATTTACCTTAATCTCTTTTGAGTTTGTGAAACAAATTAACAGTAACTAATTTACACAATAAAGAGGGTGAAGAGCCACATAAGAAAGGAAATAGTTGCTTTCAGCAGATAACAAACAAATCCTGGTATCTGGAATATATAAAGAGCTCTGTCTAATCAATAAGAAAAAAATAGCCCCAAAAGAAAAATAAACAACTTCCATAGACACTTTAGTAATCCAGATAGCCAGTAAACATGTGGAAAGGTGTTCAACCTCATTAGTAATCAGAGGAGTACAAATTAAAACTACTATCAGATGTTATTTGCATACTGACTACATTGATAAAAATTAAGTCAGATGATACACAGGAACAATAGATCTCATACACTGGTGGTGGAGGTGTAAATGGATACAATCACTTTTGAAAACACTTTGGTGTTATTTACTAAAGGTGAATGTATGTATACTATATGAGCCAGCAGTTGTACTCCTAGGTCTATAACCAGAGAGAGACTTGTTTAAAATGCACATCAGGAATCATAGCAGCATTGCTTACATTAGAAAAAGTAGAAACAACTCAAATACCCATTAACATTAGAATAAATAACATATGAATAAATTGTAATCATATGATGAAAAACTAGTCATGAAAATAAAGAAATTTATGGTTGCGTGCAACAATGATGACTTAAAATGTAAAGTTGATTGAAAAAGAACCATGGCACAAAGATTTTTTGTCCTGTGTGATTTCATTTATATAAATATTAAAAACAGACAAAATTATAATGTTTAGGAATTTATAATATATGTAGTAAACGTATTTTGAAAATCAGAACTATTTCCTAAGAAGTTAGGAGACATTGTCTCTAGAGTTAAGAAGAGAAGGTATTATAACAAGGAAGGGGCACATGGAGCACCTCAGGAACACTGGCAGTGTCCTCCCCATCCCCCCACCCTCCCTTTTACCTGAGTGTTGGTTGCCATGGATATTGCTCAACTGTTTGTTTATTAAACCTGTTTATTTACTAATTGTTTATATACTTTTCTATACGTATGTTATATTTATCAGAATGTATTAACAATGGTGCTTTAGACCCATTAAAGACAGTTCATACCCCAAAATAAACATTTTTCTTGAACTGATTAGGTAATTAACAGAATTTTTAAGTGCTACAGAATTGTATATATACATATAAATTTTCATTTATCAGTAATTTATTAAAATACATCCTAATCCTCCTTATACTTATCACAAATCCTTTTTGGAAGGTGGTGACCCATAAATGAAAAATAAATACTTTTTAGTAAATTTAATGAAAGCAATCAATGTCAGTCATCTCCTGGCTTCCTCCCCTGTAGGTGTCCTAAAAGTTATTAATTCCACAATTGATTGTTCACTTGAGTACCCAAAATTATGGAAGATGTATCATATCACCACTAGGATTGGCATGCTTACTTTTATGTAATACAACCATTAAGCTTATCATTATAGTAGGAATGTTCAAAGATTGTTCACCTTCTGTATTTTGTTTGCAAAATTTTGTTATTTATACTTCTACATTTTTACTGTTTATTTCCTTAAGAATGCTACTTTTTTATATCCCAGTAGTGCCTTTTATACAGTAATATCTACTCAATTTATTGATGAATGAAAGTAACAACTCAGTTTTAACTTTTCAGATTACATGCCTAATTATGAAAAGGAAATAACCCCAAAAGGAAATATAATCTTAGTGAATATTTGCATCTCAAAACTGTCAAAAGCAAGATTCTTGTATTTGAGAGGGAAAGTAGTATTTTAAAGCCCTTGGTCTTTCCTATGCTAATCCTCTGGGATTTGGGACACAGGAAATTTTTACATTTAGGTTATGCAAGGAAAAAAACATCTTTAAGGAAATTGTCTTACATTAAGATTTAACTGTAAATTGGCTTTTCTGTTCATGTATTTAATCTATTCAAAACCTAAGAAATAATACTGGAAACGAAAAAGGATGAGCCTCAAATGTACTTTTTAGAAGGAAAAAATGAGTTTATGTATCTTCAACTTCTTGCAGGCAGCATTTTATATTTTCTCATTTATTTTTGTTCTATATACCATAATAAAGAGTTTTGGGGTATAGTATGAAATAGAAATGTTTCAATGCCTTGCCTAAAATTATATTAAGTGAGACACTTAGCCAGTTAAGTAACAGAAAATTTCAAGATATTTTCTTTTATATTTGCTTTTCTCTAATTTATTATCAGCTCATTCTGTACTTTTATCATTTCATGTCAAGTTGATTTAATGCTGTCGTTTATATCTCTTCTCCTTCAATCTCTATCTTGTCTAGATTTCATCCTGTTATTGTCAGACTAATTATTCTCAAATTCCATTTTGATCATATTATTCCCTTTTTGGGATTCAGTAATAGAGCTCTCTTACTTAGTCTCATCAAATCCAGATTCTTTTATATTACATCTGAGATGTTGTAACACCAGCCTTCTTTTTTTTGCTGTACGCGGGCCTCTCACGTTGCGGAGCACAGTCTGCAGACGCGCAGGCTCAGTGGCCATGGCTCACGGGCCCAGCCGCCCCGCGGCATGTGGGATCTTCCCGGACCGGGGCACGAACCCGTGTCCCCTGCATCGGCAGGCGGACTCTCAACCACTGCGCCACCAGGGAAGCCCCAGCCTTCTTTTTGATAAGATTTTTCTCAATTCCTCACTGCACCTTATCCACTCCAGCCAGGCTGAGCATAGTATGCACTGTCATAATTTTCCATTTCCGGTTGTTCAGACTTTTCCTTCTGCTTCCTCCCTCCTCCCTCCTCTTGTATTTATCTTACCTATTTCTAACCCCACTTCGGTGAATTCATTTCTGGTGACTCTAATTTTTTTTTTTTTTTTTGCGGTACGCGGCCCTCTCACTGTTGTGGCCTCTCCTGTTGCGGAGCACAGGCTCTGGACGCGCAGGCTCAGCGGCCATGGCTCACGGGCCTAGCCGCTCCGCGGCATGTGGGATCTTCCCGGACCGGGACACGAACCCGTGTCCCCTGCATTGGCAGGCGGACTCTCAGCCACTGCGCCACCAGGGAAGCCCTCTGGTGACTCTCATTTTAAGCACTCCCTTCATCTTAGACCTCTTAGGTTTCTTAACATTAACATTTATATCATTGTTTGTTTTCATATGAGTTAATTTTATCTCCCCGATAGTAAGTTCTGTGAGGGTGTCTTTTCTTTTTTTTTTTTTGCGGTACGCGGGCCTCTCACTGCTGTGGCCTCTCCCGTTGCGGAGCACAGGCTCTGGACGAGCAGGCTCAGCGGCCATGGCTCACGGGCCCAGCCACTCTGCGGCATGTGGTATCTTCCTGGACCAGGGCACGAACCCGTGTCCCCTGCATCAGCAGGCGGACTCTCAACCACTGTGCCACCAGGGAAGCCCTGTGAGGGTGTCTTTATATCTTTTATAACTGCTGCAACACAGCTAGAAAACAACCTTTGGAACCTTGATTTTTGTTGCTGTTGTTCTCTATTATTTAATATCTTTGGAACAAAGAATTTATGTTAAATTATAAAGCCTATAATTATACTTTATATGTGCTTGTGAGCATTCTCTGCTTCCTTCTCTCTGCTTATAGCTCCTGGAGGATACCACCATTTTGAATTTTGTGTCTTACCTCCCTTGCCCTTTTTTAAAAACAAACAAACAAAAATTCATTTATTTTTTTATTTATTTATGGCTGCGTTCGGTCTTCGTTGCTGCGCGCGGGCTTTCTCTAGTTGCGGTGAGCGGGGTCTAATCTTCATTGTGGTATGCGGGCTTCTCATTGTGATGGCTTCTCTTGTTGCGGAGCACGGGCTCTAGGTGTGCAGACTTCAGTAGTTGTGGCATGTGGGCTCAGTAGTTGTGGCTCTTGGGCTCTGGAGCGCAGGCTCAGTAGTTGTGGCCACGGGCTTAGTTGCTCTGCGGCATGTGGGATCTTCCCGGATCAGGGATCGAACCTGTGTCCCCTGCATTGGCACGTGGATTCTTAACCACAGTGTCATCAGGGAAGTCCCCTTTGCCATTTTAAAATAGACTTTTCAGATATGTATCTGTAAAAAATTTGTTTTTGAGGTGCAGAGAAACGGATTCATGCAGCATGCAATATTCTGTAACTATTTTTTTACATAGCATTATGTTTGCTAAGATTGATAATTTTTGTTGCATTTGGCTGCACTTGATTCCTTTCATTGTGGTATATGCCATTATGTGAACATGCCGGTTTATCCAGCCTGGCCACAGGCATTTGGATTGTTGGTAGTTTTTTGCTCTTATGAATGGCTGTTCAATGATCATTGTTCTGATTCTTAGAGTACACATGTGCAGAAGTTTCTCTAGGGTTTATTCTTAGGTGTACAGCGGCTAGGCATAGGGGATACAAATATTTATTTTTCAAGCTTTATTTCAATGCTTTATTTTTTCTGACATACTTTTTTTTCCCTGACATACTTCTCACCTAATATAATTTTTCTTCCTCCCATAAAGGCATATTTTTTTGTTTTGCTTCATTGCAATGTCTTCAGCACCTAGAACTATACTAGATGTATAAGTGCTTGGTAAATATTTGATGATTGAATGAAATGCTTTTCAAATTGATCATACCAATTTATATTTTCATTAGCAGTGTACAAATGTTTGTTTTGACCCACATCTTTGCCTAGACTTGATTTTATCAGACTTCTTATAGTGAGTGTAATATGGTTTCTTACTGTGGTCTTAGTTTTCCTTATTACTGGTGAGGTCGAGCATCTTTTCAGATTGTTTGATTCTTAGATTAGTGGGGGTTTTGTTGTTGTTGTTGTTGTTGTCTATAACCAGATATTTTTCCTTGCTGTGGCAGGTGGATGGAGAGCTAGAAGCCCTGATGGAGAATGGTGAGGGTCTCTCTGATAAAAACCAGGTGCTCAGCTTATCCCGGCTAATGGTTAGAATTGAAACTTTGGAACAGAAACTTACCTGTCTCAAGCTCATACAGGTGAACACTGTGATATTAATTTATTTTTTATTTCTGAATTTGAGGTGGGACATTTAAACTACAATCCAGAATGATGAAGGGAAAAGGAATAATTCTGATATGAGAAGAGTTACTCATTTTTAAAATGGATATATGAGTTCTATATGACTTTGACAACTTGTACTCTTAAAAATGTCTTAAGAGTTCAGCATCATTTAATCTATTAGTAGATATTGTGTGTTTTCTCTCTAGTCAAAGAACATGGTGGAATTTTTTTTGTGTGTGTAACAATTCATGACACTTGATAGAGGGTCTCTCCCCACCGCCGCTTGATTATTAGCATGGCAAGGCCATTTTTACCATAGGATCTCAAAGCAAGGAATTTTAACAGTAATCATATTTACTCCAGTTTATTAAATATTCCACAAGAAGTTGGATAATAAAAGATTTTAAAATTTTTTTATAATTATAGCTTTTTCAGTAAAAATTGTGAATATAATTTTTTTCTTAGTCCTTCAAAATTTGAACTTTAGTAAAGTCCAGGTTGACATTTTAAGTATCAAAAAAGATTATAATCTCTCACTTTAAAGCATTTGTTAATTGCGCAGTTCTAGTAGATTAATCAAAATAGAATTTCTAGGTTTCTTTGTGAATATAAATGAACTCTAGTCCTCTCTGTGGGCCCTCTTTAATGCTCTCTGTGGTATTATGTGTCTCCCTCCTCCCACCCCACAATACACTGCATCCTGCTTCGCTTCCCCCATGGAAGAACACACATTCACAGTCTTGCCTGAAGTCCTTTCTGGAACGTCATGGGCTGTCTTTGTTGTGGATCTGGATGGCAGAACTAGGTGATGGCCGGGAAAGTAACCAGAAGCTTCAGGAAGAGGTCAGTTCACATTCAGCTGACCTGCTTGTTTCTTAAAACTACTGTATTTATTATTTAGGTTGAGGGTATTGTGATAATATCAGTGATAATGAATTTAGTACTATATTTACCACTCATATTAAATAATTACATCATTTTATCATCCCAATATCATTCCTATAACTGTAACTTTACATACACCTTGCTGGAAGTGAGTTTGCCCAGTGGTTTTCCCTATGGTATCTTTTAAAGCTTAGTACTACATAGTTGGGAACTGCAAGAGCAAGATATACTAGTATCATAGTTAAGTGAAAGATCCAATGTGTTGCTAAAACCATAATTTTAAAAAGATAGGAAACCATATGGAACTTAAATTCTGGGGTTCTAAAAAATTATGAAGAGCTGAATTCTGGATGACAAGAGTAAGAACATTTTGAGGAGTAAATTGTTTTAAAAGATCTAAATAGATGTTCATTGACAATGTCGTTAGTGGAATTGTTATATTTATACCGTCCCGTGAAATACACAGTATTTTCTAACTTGGTTTAAATGTAGTTCTTTTTAATCATAAGTGCTAATATAATCCCCAGGTCATTTAATAATATACTTTTAAAAACAAAAACATGAGTGGCCAAATGAGTGATTGTCTTGCCTCCATCCTTCTCCCAGGAGATTCAGCAATAAGTAGGAGTTGGGGAAGCCTTGGAGTTTCTGTAGAACTACACTGGGGGAGTACTTTGGAAGAAATTATTGGATTTCAGAGTGTGGGGTGGGGGTGGTTATCTCAGAATGAAGAGAGTGTCTCTCTTTGCTAGACAGCTGTTTGTCAAAGGCTAAGGAGGTTAAGTAATATCTGCATTTTTTGTTTGTATGCAAGACATTTAAATATATATTGTTGCTTAGTTCCCAGGCCTTTATCACAGTCACTTGGGAAACTTTTTAGAAAAACGTACCCAGGATGAGGTCCAGTAGTGTTTATATTTTTAAAAAATCTACCTGGGTTTGAGAACTACTGGTAGAGAATATTAATTAAATTAGTCTTATTTGATGTGTGAGCAGTCACCTGCTCCACATTTTATTCTTGCTGGTCAGGCTTATTAAAACACTTTTCTGGGACTTAGCTGGCGGTCCAGTGGTTGAGACTCTGAGCTTCCACTGCAGGGGGCACGGATTTGATCCCTGGTTGGGGAACTAAGATCCCATATGCCTCGTGGTGCAGCCAAAAAAATAAAAAAATAAAAAATCAAACACTTTTCCTTCCATACTAGAGGAAAGTAATATTATGACATTTAAATCCATCTGTGGTTACAAGATTTAGGTCTTAATTTAATAAGACAGTAAAAAAAAAAACACTGTTTCTACAGAATTGATCTGAGTCCCATGGAGAGGCTTGAAAAGTCAGCTGTACAAAGTGATGTTTGTTTTTTTTTAAATTATGTTTAATCAGATTATAAAGACTTTGGAACATTTACCCATTCCTACTAAAAATATGTTGGAGGAAAGCAAAGTACTTCCTATTATTCAACGTTGGTCTCAAACCAAGACTGCTGTCCCTCAGCTGAGTGAAGGAGATGGGTATTCTAGCGAGAATACATCACGTGCTCACACACCGCTCAACACACCTGATCCTTCCACCAAGCTGAGCATAGAAGCTGATACAGACACCCCCAAGAAGCTAATGTTTCGCAGACTTAAAATTATAAGTGAAAATAGCATGGACAGTGCGATCTCTGATGCCACCAGTGAGCTAGAAGGCAAGGATGGCAAAGAGGACCTTGACCAGTTAGAAAACGTCCCTATAGAAGAAGAGGAAGAGTTACAGTCACAACAGCTACTCACACAACAGCTGCCTGAATCTAAAGTTGATAGTGAAATTGCTGTGGAGGCCATTAAGCTACCCACATCTGAACCAGAGGCTGACACTGAAATAGAGCCTAAAGAGAGCAATGGCACAAAACTAGACGAACCTATTGCTGAGGAAACACCATCCCAAGATGAAGAGGAGGGTGTATCTGATGTGGAGAGTGAGAGGAGCCAGGAACAGCCAGATAAAACAGTAGATATAAGTGATTTGGCCACCAAGCTCCTGGACAGTTGGAAAGACCTAAAGGTAAGAAAACATTTCTGTTCATTTTAACCTGAATTACCCAGGTTTAGAGTTCTGTAAACCTTCAGTCGAATTACCTACTTTTCTAGCTGTATGTATTTTTGAAAAATGGAATACTATCTCTCTGTCAGCTAATTATAAATGTCTTTATAAATAAATAATGTCTTTTAAACCTTGGCCAGAGATACCAGCCAAACTAATATACAAACATCCCCCTTTTCCTTGTTTACAAAAGTATATCACAACAGTAAATTCAGTCATTCAGGTGGTCTTTACATTAAAAACAAAAATCCTTTTAGTAACAAATATGAATTCTACATTTGAGTCTATGTAAGAAAAAAATGAATGTTTAAAATAATTGGAAATTAATTTATTGGATTAACTAGAAATTAATTAAAAATAAAATTAATTGGAAACCAAGGTAATTTTGCAACTTCTCATCAAAAATGATTGAACATATAAAGCTATAGAATCATGCTTGTTAGCTTGGTGGAATGTCTCATGACAAAAAAAAACCCAAAACAAACTATTGAACATAAATATCTGTTCCAGTAAAACAACATTATATGGAGCTAGTTCATACTCAGTTTTATTATTGTTTCTGAAATAGGCCTACTTTTAAATGCCTATTTTTCTGGCCAGAAGATGTTATCGAGAGGAAAAATAAAGAGTTCTGGAACCCTTACATCTAATACTTGCATAATCACTTGTTAAAGTATGTAGCATGATGTGCAGGGTTTTCTTTGCAGAGAACCCAGTCTGGGTCTTGGATAAACACAGAAGTGAATAACAGGATGAGCCTAGGAGAGATGTGGCAAATTCTGATTGTAAGTGGGATCCTGGGATCCAGGTCTTGAGGACCCTGTGGGAACAGGTTACTACCTAGCCTCTGTTTTTCTGTTCCTCCTTTCTTGCGCCAGAGGTGAAGCAACCAGATAAACCAAGAATACAGATTTGCAGCAAAATGGACACCTGAGTCTTCTCTGTTCCCAATTATGACTACAAAGCTCACCCATTATATCCTACCATTTGACCCATAGGGAACTATCCTTATACTGAGCAGAATGAGTGTAGTTGGTTGGTTGTGCACTGTGCTTATTTTTGCATTTGTAATTTACTGTGTTGAGACCCTTCTTTAAGTATGGTGTGGTTTCAGCTCTCATTTACCCATTTGAGCTCTTACTCATGCTACTCTTTGATCACCTACAGTTCAGCATAAACTCAGCCTTATTATTTGAAATCTGACCTTTTTATAAATATAAAAGGAAAGATTCAGAGTAAATCTGTTTATGACACAACATGTGAATGCAGGAACTGGAGTTGCAATTAATTGAAAGAGCTGCTGGGACAGTCATTTGTGTGAACCTTTATTTAAGGCCTGCTTTGTGAGGGCACAGGAGTCCCTGGACGAAGTCCCTCTTGTGTTTGGAGACTGCTAGTAGAGCCTGTACTATGATTGGCTCAGTAAGGAAGGTGGAAATGGAGACAGGCACTCAGGTGAAGGTAGAAAAGGCCTTACAGACATAGTTTTATAGAGAGGGGGGTTGTAGACCTAGTAGTTCACTTTTGCCTGAGAAGGCTCTGGTTGACGTAATTTAAAAAAAAAAAAAAAAAGACATAATCATCTTAATTTCTTAAAAACCTGTCTCTTCTTGAAATCTGGAATAAGTAAATGTTTTTGTTTCTCTGTATGGTAGTTTTTTTAATTATAATTGTAATGATATAAATTATTCTCTGGAATATCCTTAACTCAATTAGATATAACTGGTACTTTAAACTCACACTCCAGACATAAATGTTTTTGAGTCCTACACAATTATTTCTTCCCTTGCTTGTCCTCTTCACTCCTATCTGAAAGATCAAAGTGGTTGCACAGTACTATGTAGACTGATGATCCTCTTGACTTGAGGTTTAAAATTTTATTTGTACCTAAAATATATTCTTCTTAACGTTCATACTTTGGATTTATCCCAATTCTTAGCATCAAGGAAGTTATTAAATAAAATCCTCCTTCCTCAAACTTTATAGTTTGCTCTGGAATCATTACCCATCTAGAATTGCATTACTGAGAAATGTTTTTGCTTGCCTGAACTGTGATGTTTTGTTATGCATTGGTGCTAGGGTTCTTAATTCATCTATCATTCTAATTAACATTCACCATGGTTCTAATTTCAAAACCGGTTATAGTTGTCCTTAAAAAATATACTTCAGCTAGGGAACCCATAATTTGAACATGTTTTAGAGAAACACCTTGACTTGATGTGATTACTATATATCCATCCTATTCCCGGCATTGAAAGAGTTAACTACTTCTGTCTGACTTCCACCTGTGTGTTCAAGTAGATGTTGGCAGAAAAGAAAATGTGTTATTCAACCAACTTTTATTAAGCACCTGTTGCCAAGCATGTGTTAGTTGCTGATGTTAATTTCAAGATTATACTAAAAAGCATTGATCTAAGATTGTGGTTATGTTAGCCACTCCAAGCTTCCCTGACCTTCCTGGGCCACTGTAACATTGCTGGACATGTGTTCCACTTGTCCTTTCTACATACTGGATGGAGTGAAGAACTGAAAGAGGTTGCTTCAGATTTCTTAATCTTGATTTTGCTGTGAAGGCAGACTATAGGGATCATCAGTAAATGAAAGAGGGTGGGAGGGAAGGGAATGAAGCTTCATGAATTACTCTTTGTCCTCCCAGATCTGATGATGATCCCCCTTGTAACTTGAACCATTTCCATCTAGCTTCTCAGGGCAGCAAGGAGCTTGTTAACATCACCAGCTGACCATGTGTCTCCTTTTCTCAACTCCATTTTCAACTTCGTGCTGAAGAAAAACAAGAACCTAGCGTGCATTCTGTGAAGAAAACAGGAAGATGGTTGGGAAGTTGGATGATGCATGAAAAATATAATAGGTGAAAAGAGGACAGAGGTGGTTAACTCACTGGCACCGGCGTTATTTTGGTGCGTCCATTGCCGACAATGGATGTCGTTCTGGGAAAATCCCGACTCCTGGCGAGAAAGGATTAAGTGAGCTACTTTTTCTATACCTCTATACACAGGACCACTGCCTTGGCTCCACAAGGCTTACACATTTTTGACTCCTAAAGTAGACCTCAACAAGAAACATCACTTAGCACATTGCTACACATGAGCGTGTATTCATTTTCACATGCAAATTAACTGGGCTACATTTTCAGCAGGGACATGTGCATATATTTCTGTTTGTAAAAGGAATTACTGTACATCACCCCTCATGCTGAAAATATACCCAACACTTCACAGGGCAAAACAGCTGGTTATAAGTGATGATTAATTATAAACTTGACTGGAAAATCTTCATTTGGATCATGAGAAGAAGAGGTAAGGTTCCCATGAATTTGGCAGTTTCAGTTGCAGTTAAACAGCTGAGAGATTGTGATGGCTAGTGATTCCAGAGCCTCTCTTATAAACACTTAGGTTACAGGATGTGTGTCTCCTTATAGTGAAGTCTGAGTAGTTATAGTTACATCTGGATTAGATGATTTAGGGACATTTTGTACATGTGATAAGTTGGACTTTTCTTAAGAACCATCCTTATTATCTTTTTCATCTTTATCTCAAGACATTATCTTTAATTAAACATATTATTTTCCTAGAAAGTTAAGCATTGAACTCTACAGAAGTTTTAAATAATTCAGAGAGTTACCCAACTGAAAAGTTTTGAGTCTGGGGAAACTCCCTGGCGGTCCAGTGGTTAGGACTCCATGCTTCCACTGCTGGGGACCTGGGTTCAATCCCTGGTCGGGCACTAAGATCCCAAAAGCTGCGTGGTCAAAAAAAAATAAAACAAGTTTTGAGTCACTGCTTGGAATTTCGGTTCCTAACTAATATGTGAAATCTGCTATGCAACATTTCAACATGATATGATGTGCCCTGAATTTCTGTAATAAATTTCAAAATCCTTAGTAGACATTATTCTGTATCCAAAAGGATCAGTATTACTCACCCTTTTGTTTAAAATACAGAATTGCCCCCAAAGAGCACTATTTTAGGTACCACTACATTGAATTTTTGTAATAAGAATCTCATTTGATAAAAGGCAAACATGGTCTAAAACTTATTAGTAGCCTGGTTTCTTTATTATCAGATAATACTTTCATCTAAATTATGGGGTGGCCTAATCTGCCCTGCTGCCTTTTTTCGTAAATGAAGTTTTGGGGGGAGCCCAGCCAAGTTCGTTCATTTACATACGTCTGTGGCTGCTTTTGCACTGCACTGGTAGAGTTGAGTAGTTGCATCAGACTGGATGGCCAACAAAGCCTAAAATATTTATTGCTTTGTCCTTTACAGAAAAAGTTTGCCAACACCTAATCTAAATGATAAAGTACAGAATCTGGCTGCTCTAAACATTCTGATTTTGAATGAAGTCATTTTGACACTTTATTCTTTTGGGTGAGCTCTTTTTTGTTTTGTTTTGTTTTGTTTTTTGCGGTACGTGGGCCTCTCACTGTTGTGGCTGGCCTCTCCCGTTGCGGAGCACAGGCTCCGGACGCGCAGGCTCAGCGGCCATGGCTCACGGGCCTAGCCGCTCCGCAGCATGTGGGATCCTCCCGGACCGGGGCACGAACCCGTGTCCCCCGCATCGGCAGGTGGACTCCCAACCACTGCGCCACCAGGGAAGCCCTGGGTGAGCTCTTAATTCTGTTTCCCTAGAGACATGATGACCATGTTTCCATACCCCATGAAGTTACTTTAAAAAAAAAAAAAGAAGTCTTGACTCTGTTTAGGAAAAGTTACTTTAAGTGATTTGGATATTGGACTATCTGAGAAGTGGGAGAGTATATACATTATAGAATTACTGGGCTAGAAGACACCTGTAAGGAATGTCATTCTTCCCTCAGGACCATGATCAAGTTAGTCAGAAACTTAAGAGACTTGTAGAGTACAGATAAGTTGGTATAATCTAGTTTTATATATAACCATAATGAAAATATATAAATTTTCCTTCTTAATGTTCTTAACTTTTGATTTTGATGTAATTTCAGACTTAACAGGAAAACTGCAAGAATACTGTTCTTATGTATTCTTCACGTAATACACATCCAGTGACAGATGTATGTTAAAAACAGTAAAAATTCCTCTAAACCTTTCATCCAGATTCCCCAGTGTTAACATTTTACCAAATTTACCTTAACATTTTCTCTTAATTTCTTTTTAACTTTTAAAGAATAAGTCACAGATATCATGCCCACTGCGCCTAGATATTTTTAGTGTGTATTTCCTAAAAACAAGGACATTCTTTATGACTTCAGTGTACTTATCAAAATCAGCAAATTACAGTGACACAATACTATTAATCTGTTAAACAGACCTCATTCAGATTTTGCCAGTTGTGCCCATAATGTCCTCTATAGAAAAAAGAAAATTTCTGATCCAGAATCTAACCTGAGATCAAGCGTTAAATTGAGTTGTATCTCTTTAGTATCCTTTAATCTGGAATAGTTAGTTCCTCAGTCTTTGGCTTTTATAAACGTCACATTTTTGAATATTTTTAAATTTTTTAGAATATTCCTCAATTTGGGTTTGTCTGAAGTTCTGTTTGGAATGTTCGTTTATCCCATTACTGGCATTGTCAACTTCAGTCACTTGGTTAAGTTGGTGTCTGCCAGGTTTCTCCAATGTAAAGTTACTATTTTCCCCTTTATAATTAAAGAGTATAATATAGGAGCACCTTTGGAGATAATAAATACTCTTTTTTGTGAAAGTCAGCCATCCAGTGAATTTGCCTGAATCTTGTACAACTATGATTGTTAACAAATGGTGATTTTCTAATCCATCATTCCTTTTTCTGTATTTCTATACAGTGGTAGCAGTCTTAACAGGTTATTAAAATTACTTGCTTAGATGCTTGTTTCTCCTCACAGGACCATGAGATCTTCAAGGGCAGAGACCATTCCTTAATCGTTGGTAGTAAGAGTTACTTTCATCATGGTATCTTTTTAGTAATGGTTATAATAAGTTATCACTTAATAATAGTGAATGACTACTCTGTGACCCCTACAGTGTATCCAGAGTGATCTTTTTGGAAATATACATCTGTTCATGTCAAAGTCCTATTTAAAACTTTTAAATGGTTCCTCATTACATTGTTTAGTTAAATCCATTTCTCTTAACAAGGCTTGCATACCATGGCATAATCTGGTCCTTATTTATGTATGCATTTTCACCTCAAGAGTTTCTGGCCTACCAGTGGGACAGTGCTACTAATGTTCACACACACACACACACACTCTCTCTCTCTCTCTCCCGCGCTCTCTCTCTCTCTCTCTCTCTCTCTCTCTCTCTCTCATTGACTTGTTTCTGAGAAGACTTTCTTTTGTTTAGATGTCTCTTCTCATTTAAGTTTCATCCTTTCCCCTGAAAACCATTCCTGTTCCTCCAAGACAGAGTATTCTGCCTTTTCTATATGCTCCCATAACATCCTTTCCAATCATAGCAGATAACATTTCATAATTGTACATTGTGCAGAGGCAGAGACTGTGTCTGTCTTGGTCACTTGAGTCTCCCCAGGGCACAGTGAGAGCGTACTATGTAGTTTGGCACTTCATAAATATTTGAATGATGAAGTGAAGAAGGTCCTTCTTTTTCCATGGTACCACACTGCTGCTATTTTTTTTTTAATTTATATTTTAATTTTTTGGCTGCACACCATGGCATGTGGCGTCTTCGCTGACCAGGGACCGAACCCATGCCCCTTGCAGTGTAAGCACGGAGTCTTAACCACTGAACCACCAGGGAAGTCCTGATTCTTCTTGAATCCATAATGTGTATATTTTATTTGATAGGTGGTCAGAAAATACTTGAATGAGTGTCATGTAATCTTTACAACCCTGCAGAGTAAGTGGTGGTGTTTGTATCAGCTGTAAAAGGGAAACAAACAGGCCCATGAGTTTGTAACTTAACTTTAAATGACATAGCTGAAAATTATCTTCTGATTTAAATCCTATGTTCTTTCCATTCCTTTTTCTGATCCAGCAAATAGTGATTGCTACGTCCTTGCTAGACAGTTCATGCAATTATGTATCTTTGCTGAATACTTTTCAGACTTCTCTCAATCTGTTTCTGTTTTAATAACTGTAATAAGTTCAAATTCGTTCTTAAATCATAGAAATTATCATTTTAGTGTTTTGTTCAAGTATCTTTTTTTCCTTAATGCTGCAGAGATCAACCTGTGATCCATGATTGAATTTCAAGGGATTTTCAGAATGCTTGAAATCATATATAAAACTGTGGGGTTTTCTGGGGCAAGGGTCCACAAATATGAGCAGTTTCTCAAACAGGGGTGTATATATATGTGGGTTGGGAAAAGAACAAATTGTGGTCCAAAAAGTGTTTGCTGGATGGTCTTAGCTGCAGTGTTGTATTGACTAGTGCAACATATAACTTCAGTGAAGTCTCTTGGAGGGCTGTGGTGATTTTTAAGTTTTAATTAGAAAAATTATAGAGGAGGTAAATTTGAAAGTGTAAAAGAAAATCTTAGATTTGGAATTAACTTGCTTAGAAAACAGAAATCTGAAATTTGAGAAACATTTAATCATCATGACCTTGATTATTCTTCAGTGATTACTTACCAGCATAAAACTTTAATTTTTCTACACACATGTTTTACTACTGGGCTGGGGAGGCCTTGAAAGCAGGCTCATGTGTCAGGTGTTCACCTTGTGCTTCAGTACTAGTGGAAGCCCGGCACATTTTAGATGCGTGTTGAATAAAACTGAGTGTTGTTAAGGTAGATTTTTTGAATTAGAGTCAAGGTGGGTAAGGCTAGAGAAGGAGGAAGTTCGGGGAACAAGTTTAAACTGAACGGCAGAGACTCCCCTGGTAGCTCAGTGGTTAAGAATCTACCCACAAATGCAGGGGAGACGGGTTCGAG